CAACCCGCCCAAAACATTAAAAAAATCGACCCAAACCGGTCGGTTTGGGTCGGGTCGATCGGGTTGGTCGGGTTGGGTTGGGTTTTGCCCACCCCTATTCACAGTACCTTCTCACCAGATAGTGAAGGGGAGGATTTTGCAATTGAACTTGCAAAATAACAATGAAAATTCTGACCATGCTGCATTACTTTCTGGAACCTTCAGTACAGCTAGCGTTTATGGTAAATCTTGTATCATAATATAAATGCAAGGAGCATTATATTATGATACAAGATAATTTTTATCATAAGTTGGTGTCCAACAAGGCCGTAACTGCAAATCCTCGTCCAAGATAAAAAATTTGCGTTCTGATTTCATTTACGAGCTCAAGAAACTGAGTCCCACATTTTAAGCTTCCATAGATGCACTGAGAAACAAATTTTGAAATTACAACAGCAATTAAAAATTCTGAAGAACAACATCAAAAGGAAAATCAAGTTACCTCTTCTTCTTCAATGTTATGTACATTCTGCTTTAGCTATAAAATGGGTGCTTTAATCCTTGCAATTAAGCCCCGATGGATATTAAAATCAAAATTTTAGTAGATTTTGATAAAATTTGATGAAATTTGTGGTCGATACGCGTCCATGAAATACGTGGTTAAAAATTATTGAATTTAATTTAGATTAAAATATTTAATCCATACTGACTACTTTGCAGCCCGGGAATGGAAGAAAGGTCTTGCTAGAATAAGCTGAGGTGGAGCATAAGAATATCTGGTCGTCTCCACCTCATTCCATCTATCCTCGAATTTTTCTTCTTCCTCTCCTTTTAGTTGAGCGATTTCATACCTCTCCCTTCGGTCTCACTTCCTGTCATCCAGCCGTGTCATAGGCCTTTATCTGACCAAGTATACGAAGATGAAAGCAGCTATGGCGAATGAATTGGGGCATAAGGGCTAAAAACTGATTTGAATATTGCAATCGTTCCTTAAATTTATGAATTCAACTTTTTTTTTNCCCTGAAATAACGGGATACGCGCGTAATTAATTAAAAGATTAATTATTTAATTAAAATTTTAAAAACCGAAAAATTGAATAAATAAAGTCTAAACTATATTTTTAAAAACTAATCTTTAAATACCTTTCTTTTTTGTAATTTCCTCATGAAAAAATGCCAAGTGGAAGCCTGTAAAAAATATGTGAAACTTAACTTGTACACCTAGCATAGCTCGTTTATCAATAGAATATTTAGTTGATGAAAAATCTAAAATGACTACTATTACTTTTTTTTTAGTTTGGGTTCCTTGGCGCAATACCTCTTCCTTTTTAAATTGAATGAAAATCCTTATATATGACATTTGAAGTGCGGAAGACCCAATTTTCTCAATAAAACCTTGTAAAATGATAATTATACTCTCTTATTAAAATATAATTAAAAAAAAAAAAAATAAAAATTAATTTCAATTATAGTCTCAATTTTTTTTTTTAAAAGTGCAAATGAATCCAAAATATATAATTTAAAATTTAAACTATAAAAAATCTCTCTCTTTCCCTTCCCCACCACCACTGCAAAAAATTCTAAAGTACATGAACATCCTCCCAATCATTTTCACCAAAATTCGATTCACTTTTTACTATCTAAATAGTTAGATTCCAACCAAATCAATCACATTTGTCCTGCTAACAGGAATTTTGTATTTTTTTCTTCTACTCTCTCAGCCATTCTTCATTTGGTCTTGCTAATCAAATAAATAACACGAATAATAAATAAATTAGGGCTTTGTTACTTAGAGAAAAAAATGTTCATTGAGGTGGGGGGAAATAGTGACTACATATGTTAAAGGAGATTGCATTGGTTGAAGGAGACGGCGAAACTCCTACATGAAATTGGGTGGTGGTGTTCGAGGGAGGAAAATTGGTCCAATTGTGGGAGTGGTAGTTTTGTCAAGAAATGGACGTTAGCGATGGCGAAGGGGATAATGATGACGTATGGCGACGGCAACGGTAGTGGTGGTGAGGAAGGGAAATAAAGAGATTTTTCATATTTTTAATTTTAATTTTTTAATTATTTATTTGGAATTTGTTTGCATCTCAAAGTTTATACGTGAGTTTAGGGACATTTGGCAATAAAACTTTTTTTTTTTTTTTGTTAACATTCTTGTTGTTTCTTCCTCTACAGTAAGAATATAGCTATCAGTAGCACCACAAAAACGCGTCTTCCGATGACTTTCCCGTGGGCCCCTACTTCACCCGATACCGTCTTCGCTCCTCAACCCTTTTCTCTCAACTTCTGTAAACTACATCAAACCTCAACAAATCTCCTTTGAGAGTTGATTGTACAGAACTTATAATTAAAAACGAAGCGTTAATGGGGGAAAACGTTGAGCAGAAGCTTATTGCCGTTGCTCGACATATAGCAAGTACAATGGGCCATACTGACACCATAACTGATGATATTCTCAAAATATTCTCCAACTTCGACGGGAGATTTCGTGAAAAGTTAACGGAAAAACTTTCCCATGAAGACCCACGTGATTGCGCCACACTGGAACATACCCTCAAGTCTTTGGACCGTCAGATCTCCCATTATGTGTCTTCTGACCAACCCATTTGGTTGGACTCTGCTGAATCATCGTCCTTTCTTGATTCTGTGGATCAATTGATATCTACCATTCGGGATTGGAACCGGTTAGCTGATGATAAGAATATCGCTGCTTGTCTCGACCGGGTGGAGGATTTGCTGCAACAGTCTATGTTCCGTTTGGAGGATGAGTTTAGGAGCCTTGTGGAACGCGGTGCCGAGTCTTTTGGCTTGACTCATGGTGAGTCAAGCCACCTTGATTGCTCCATTGAGGATGATTCTGGTGATGAAGATGCTGATGAGAATGAAATCCCCGTGGCGCACCCGATTGCGGATTATAATATAATAATTGATGCTTTACCGGAGGGGACTATTAGGGAATTGCAGGAGATCGCAAAGAGGATGGTGGCTGCTGGGTACGGGAAGGAGTGCTCCCGCGCGTATAGCACTTGCCGGAGAGAGTTCTTGGAGGAGAGCTTGTCGAGGTTGGGCCTTCAAAAGCTGAGCATTGATGAGGTCCAGAAATTGCAGTGGAGTCAATTAGAAGTCGAGATTGAGAAATGGATCAAAGCCATTAATGCCGCAGTTCGAATTCTCTTCCCAAGCGAGCGTCGCCTCTGTGATCATGTGTTTTTGGGGTTCTCCTCGACTGCTGATTTATCCTTTATGGAAGTATGCAGAGGGTCAACTATTCAGCTGTTGAATTTTGCAGATGCAGTTGCAATAGGTACCTGTGCACCGGAGCGTCTTTTTAAGGTGTTGGATGTGTATGAAACGGTGAGGGATTTATTGCCTGAGTTTGAGTTATTTTTCTCTGATCATTACTGTATGTCTTTAAGGAACGAAGCAATAACCATATGGAAAAGACTAGGAGAGGTTATTAGAGGAATATTTATCGAATTAGAGAATTCGATCCGTCGGGATCCTGCCAAGGTTGCAGTTCCTGGTGGCGGGCTGCATCCCATCACTCGATATGTGATGAATTATCTTCGCGCTGCATGTCGTTCTCTACAAACCTTAGAACAGATCTTTGGTGAGAGTATTGCACCACCTGGTTGCAATTTTGATTACAGGAAAGGGGATGATAGGGCCTTGTCCTCATCGTTGGCTGTTCAAATGGAATGGATTATGGAATTGTTGGAGATTAATTTGGAGGCAAAGTCAAAAATTTATAGGAACTCTGCTCTTTGCTCTGTGTTTATGATGAATAATGGGAGGTATATTACACAAAAAGTAAAAGATAGTGAGTTGGGGACACTCTTAGGTGATGATTGGATAAAAAAACACAATGCAAAAATAAGACAGTATCATGTGAATTATCAGAGGAGTTCATGGAGTAAGGTTTTGGGAGTTCTGAAGGTTGATAATAATTTTATGTCTCCTAATGGAACTTCAAAGAGTTTGATAGAAAAGCTGATGTTTTTCTATTCATACTTTGAGGAGATTTGCAAAACTCAGTCTTCATGGGTGATCTTTGATGAGCAGTTTAGAGACGAGTTGAGGATTTCAGTTTCAGGGACTGTGTCTCCTGCGTACCGCAACTTCATTGGAAGATTGCAGAATTCTCCAGATTTCGGGAAATATGGAGATAGGCATATCGAGTACGGCGTGAAGGATATTGAAGCTCGGATCAGTGAGTTGTTTCAAGGAAGTGGCAGTAGCAGAAGGTGACACCAAACCAATCAAGGAAATGATCTGTTGCTGAATCATGTATACAAGTATTGTTTGTGAAAGCTTATTGTATTTTGATCTTCGCTCTGCTCTATCTTGTTAGCTCTTTGCACACTTTTGATATTTTGTAGTCGAAATCATGACATTTTTTAACAAGATGTACAATTATACAGTTCAATGTCTTCATTTGCTTGAATAGCTTGTGATGTGAGGACTGGTGCGTGTGGCTGTTTAAATTGCTCATTTAGGGTACAAAAACTTATCGCAGTAAACTGAACTAACTTCAATGACATATAACATATTATGCACTTGGGTGTCGTCATCAGTCAACAATTACATCATGTTGCTCTGAAGAATTTATTGAAATATTTGCAATGTTTGTCCATATTCTTTTCATCATAGAAGGTGTCTTGCTGGTTTTCTCTCGACCTCCTACTCTTTCCGTGTATAGTCACTGTCGAATTTCTTAAAATCTGATGAGTGTCTGGAATGTAAATGCTGAATTATGGAATCCCAATTTTTTGTTCATCTCTGGTGTGTTTCAGTTGCATATAAGGAAATTGTCTGAGATTGATTGCCAATTTGATGCAGTTTTCCTTGCGGGAGCACTGCAGTTCTCTAATCTGTCAAAATCATGTTTTTGCTTTCAATAACTTTTTGTATCCTAAGTTCAGTTTGTTGCTAGCTGTCCTCACTGTTGTGCACAAATTCTGTTGGAGGGTAGAGGTGGCAAAGGAGCACTATTGTTATGGAAATGTTGGTGTACTGGTTCTGGCTGTGGAGGTGGTGACATGGTGTGGAGAATGCTAAGAGAAAGTGGATAGAAATAGAGAACTTTGTTTCACCGTATGGATTAATTCGGTGGGATTCTCTGTAGCACAATCAAGTATCGGTGCCTCTCAAACACCTTTGTAATTGTAGGTGCTTAAAATTTCTCTTCAAGCTTACCATCACCCTGGAAATATCATGCTTTTGCTCCAACTCTAGCAGAAGAAAAAGATTTCTATCCTATGACTAAAAAAAATCAATATGCTTAAAACTAGGACATATCGATTGGGTATGAATTGTTCTGAATCTCAGTGGCTCAATCCGAATACTGAATTGGCCAATCACATTTTGTATATGAATAAAGGACTTTAGATCCTGTAGAAATTTATAATAATTTTACCATGGCTGGGGTAAAGACATAGCTGCAAAGTTTTGTACTGCGTATACTAATTGAAAAATTTTATAACAAATGCATTTTCCCTGAACGAATACGATACAATACAATCTAGTCCAGCCTGGCGGACATATCTTTGAAACACAATGGCAATCAAATTGACAATCAAGTGTCTACATGATCTATGCCAAGTGACCACTGGGTGCTGAAGTGTGAACTTGGGAAGAAGTTGCTTTGCCAGATACTGAGACAGGCACCGATAGGTTGATTCACCAGGATGAATACTATCCCAGAATAAGTACTGGGCGTGGTTCTCACAAACTGGAGTTGAGGGAGTACAGAGAGGACCAACTTCCAGTAGTCCAGTTCCACAGCAACCTTTCCCGACTTCCACAAAATTTGAAACAGACAATGAACATTTTAGCATTTCAACATTTGAAGTGTTTAAACATTATCAACAACTTGACATGGAAGCTTTAGCCAAGAAAGTTTTATCCCGAAAAAGGCACTTGTGCTAAACTCACTTTAAGAATGAGCCTCTCTCTTCCAGGCCATCCGTAGGTGCCTCATGTTAAATCAAGAGGAGTGGAGCTCCTATTGATACTTTGAGAATAATCTGCCGAGGCAGCTTTTTGAAAAGCATTTTGATTGAAAGGAAGGAAAAATCCATAATGCGATGGATGAACAGAGATTAGCTGATCTTGAAGGTTTACCATATTTTTTTGGGTTATTGATCATATCCATGAGTATAGTGTATATGTCTGCATAGAGGATTTTGCTCCCTGGAAGTTCTTGCTGTACTTGTGGAAGCAGTTTTTCTAGCCTGTTATTGTAAGACATGGCATCTGAATTCTCCTTGTCTATGCAACTTCTCAGAATTGGAGACTTGACTGTGATTTGGAATGGCAGACAACCTATTGGAGGAAGCCCCTGTACAATTATCCTACGGCACCCAAGATCATACAATTCCTGCAAGTTCAAATTAAGGTGAAAGACGGTATAGAATTAAATACTGGAATTTGGTTTAAAGAGATAAAAATTGGTTAAGTATGAAACCATGAAAAATGTGAAAAGTGACTTTTCGTGTCAACTTCGACCAAATATTCAGACTCAATCCAGTAATCAAATTATGAAAATAAATAGACCAACTTGATCGTGGTATATTTGGAACCTAAAAATCAATTCCAAATGAATGAAAAATTGTGATCCAAAGTTGGAGGAAAAAATCGAATTTTTAGCGAGAGATAGCCCAACGCCAGGCGAGTGACAGGCTCTCTACTTTTGGGGTTCGAGCGGCGCATGGGCGACAAGCGATCGACAGCAAAAGCTGCGACCCTTGGTAAAGGTTATTGAGTTTTGGGGTGTGACTCTCCATTCACTATCCCTCCTCTTCTATAAATAGGATTATTTAGATGTCCTTTACTTCATCCCAATCATAGCATAACATAAAAATTCATATTTCCTCAGTCAAAATTTTGCATAAAATTACATTTTTCATTTCATTGGAAAGGAGTACAAAAGTCATATGTTTAATTCGATGTTCTTGTGCTTTGGAGTGCTACAAAGAAGAGTTGTTCGTTGTATTTTGGGAGTTAATTGCCACCATCCGTAGGCACCGTTACGGGGCAAAATCAACTTAAGGACAAAAAGTAGACTCTTGCCTCGACTTTGCATCCATTTTCTTGGTTACTTTGTCCATTTTCGTTGGCGTTTTAACTTCCATTTCTTTGTTGTTTATTAATCAATTCCTTGTCATTACTCTATTCAATTTTTGGTAAGGTTGGTAAGTTCAGTTTGTTAAAGAAATCACTCAAATCCATTTTGCAAACAAACGTTAAACAAAGTGCCTTGTAAGCTGATAGAATTTAACAAAGTGCCAAGTTCAAACTAAGCTGACATGCAACACTACAGAAAGAAGCAGAATCACATGAACCTAGAAAGCAGTATGGCACCACAAGACAGGGCAAAGTAGTTTGAGACAAAATACTATTGTCATATTAATCCCAGACTTGGGACAATATAGTACAAAATTTGGCGTTTGTGTGTGTGTTTATGAGAGAGAGAGAGAGAGAGAGAGAGAGATTGGACCTTAACAAAGTTTTGCAGCTTATTTAGCACAAAACATTGATACTGTGTGATGTTGAATACAAGCCTTCTTGTCGGTATGTCGTAGTAGTTGAAAAGGAAATCATTTTGTCCAGCAATAACAATAACCAAAGCATTAGCTCCTATTCTTCTAGCCTCCTTTTCACCAACAATTCTCTTAAGCCTCTGCATATAATCCTTAAATAATTCCAGCTGCTTCAACATCGAGATTACCTGAGAAATAGCAGTTGTAAGCTCGTCATATCCCGACCCCGCTGAAGCAAAGCACACTCCAGTAAGTAGTTCAGCATCTGATATGTTTGGCTGCAGGAATGGTGGGACAGTGTCCTTGATGCCTAACATATGGATGCCAAGATATCAGGTACGAGTTTTCCATTTGAAAACCGCCCTGTAGGAACGTGGTTTGGAAAATCGATGCCATACGGTAGATGGTTGCCTTTGAGTGGTGTTAGTATGTAGTTATTATTACCTGTATCAACGTTAGAATCACCAAATATAAGAATGGCTGGGAATTTTGGCATTCTTTCGCCATTGCCTGTGTTGGTGATGATGCAGCCAAATTGCACCGCCAACATTAAGAAGAGGGCGGTAGAAGCCATTGATGTATAAACAAGCCTTTTTGCTTAGAAATTCTGGTATCATATGGCAAAAATCTGAACAAATATATATTAGTTACTTATTTTCAAAAGTAAAACTATTAGTTACTTTTCAAAGTAACTTTGACTTTACTATCAATAGGTTAGGTAAATTATTAATTTCATATATTGACCAGTAAGAAAAAGATAGAACTTTTCATTTACTACATTAACCAATGAAAAAATAATTATTTGACAGTTACTTATTTACTTATAAATAAACTTTTAAGATTTGCCAAACATGAGTAGGAGAAAAGAAGAAATGATGATATATGGCGTGAAGTTATAGCATGTTAATTTGTAAAGGAGAAAATATTTTGGCTGCTTTATGTGTTTGTAATGTCTTTTGTTGTACTTCTGATATTACGATGAACTTGAAATGTGTTTGCATAGAATGTTTTGACAAGATTTTGTTGGTGAGTAATGTTATCTAAGATTAAAAGAGCCTTTGCTTCACTTAAATTCTAGGATATTTACACAACCAATTACCAAATTATAAGTCGCATATTTGTCTTCTTAAGTATTCTGCAAGAAGAGTGTAGCGATATTACTGATATAAATTATGTAAATTGTTTATTAGATAAGAATATTCTTGGGTATTATCTTTTATCTAATAAGGAGTATCTAATGGAGTTAAAACACTTCTCATTATCGTCGAAATTCCTTTTGAAAATTCGATGTACAATAGTCTATAAGAGATTACACGTTGTGGATATATAAAATTCGCTTGGCATGACTTTTGCTTTAACTTTCTGTAGAAAGGTTTTTGAAGGAAACTATCTTAATTTTTTGTTTGAAAACTAATTTTTAAAAGAATTTCTTATTTCGAATGTGCTTTTAGAGAAAGTCATGTACTTATTTTTACTCGTATGCTTGGATTTCAAGTTCTCATCGCCTGTTTTTCTATATTTTTTTGAAAACTCACCCTTTTTTCTTTCTATCTTCGCCTATTTCTACTATTTTTCTTGTTTTATTGTAGTTCTCTCCTCTATACACACATGATAATTGAGTTTGAGGTTTAATTTTGGTTAAAATCTAGATAGGAAGGCTTGAAGGTAAAATATTCACATTTATCATTCCGTTTTATTAATTAATTTTAAAAATATTTTTTATTTTTATATGGTTTAAATTTAGTTATTTAAAAATTTTAAAAAAAAAAATCTGTGTGGAGACCATGTTCTTTATCCTCGCTCCGTTGAGAGAGAGGGAGGCGTGGGTGGCTAATATGATAAAGAAACTAACTCCTAATTAATAGGAGAGATTGATAAGGTTTTTAATATAGAGGGTCAATGCTTTCTATCATTATACTAATGATATGTAAAGGGAAATATTGAAAAAATTCAAGTATGACTTGGATTTAATTGTTCATAATATGATTCTCAATTCATGTGATACTTAAACCCTGTTTGAGATTGATTTTATATTTGACAAATCTATAATTATTTTAGACGTTGGGTAAGCTTTAAAAAAGTGATTATTAAAGAAGTTGCACAATATGACAATAGATTTTGAGAAGCAAGAAAATATTAGATTTTTAAATTCTTCTTTTAACTTTTTCAATTATATATCATTAAATTATTAAGAGCTTGTTTGGGAGGGATTTTTGGGGGAAGAATTGAATTTGAATAGTGATATGATGGGAAATGTGTGGTTGAAAAAGAAGAAAAAATTATTGATGTGATGGAAAATATTATTTTATTGAAGAATGTGTGTTCAAAATGAGAATTGATTTACTGTAGAAAAATCAAAATCTCTCCCAAACAGGGCCTAATTTTAACACTAATTCTTTATGGAGCACAACTACAACTGATTCTCTTAAAAACACAACAACACTAAATCAAGCCTCAATATATTATATGTTATATACATTATGTTATATTGAAATGTATATTTGGTTTTTATTTAAATTTTTATAATTGTACTTTTAACGACGACGAATGACTTATGGGTTATACTTGTAATATTATCAATATTTGCTTGAATTGCTTGGGATGTGGGGACTGGTGCATGTGTCTGTTTAATTCATTCAGGGTACAAGAACTTATTTCAATAACTGAATTAACTTCAATGACGTAGTATGCACTTGCCTGTCATCATTAGTCAACAATTATATCATCTTGCTATAAATTAGAGTTCATTGAAATATTAACTATAGCGGTCCGTAGTCTTTGCATCATATAATGTGTCTTGCTGGTTTTCTCTCTGACTTCCTGCTCTTTCTTTTTGTGTAGTTCAATGTCGAATTTCTTGAAATCTGATGAGTATCTGAAATGTGAATGCTGAATTCTGGAATCCCAAGTTTTTGTTCATCGCTGGTAAGTTTCAGCTGCATCCAGGGGCGGACCCACAGTGGGTCACGTGACCAACCAACTTTCCAAACTTTTTTTTTTTTAAATAAAAAAAAAATAAAAAATTAGACTTCTACTACTCCATTGCAGATTGCAGAACCCTTGGGGCAGAAAAGGAACCCATTACCGTTTCGATACTGGAGCAATTGCATTAAAATCATGAAAATGGAGTAATTACTATTTCCGAGGAACCCATTAAAATATCACTGGAGTAATTGCTTTACAAAGAGTAATTTCCAAGAAACCCATTACTATTTTGATTTTGTAATTGAATAATGGCAGAACCAATGCGTTAAAATCAAAATCCTTCCGTTCCCTTCCCTAGGAAATTCAAAACCCGCTCTATTTCGAGTTTGTTGTGCTACAAATTGCTCCGATTATGGTGTTACTCCTAATATTTCGATTCCGATTCAGCCACTGACTACTCCCATTGCCCTTGTTGTTGCCGGTCCGCCACAAACTGTGGGTAAAAAGGGGAGAAAAAGAGGAATCTTGGATTGTTTTTGAATGCTAAATAATGAAGGTAGAAGAAAGCAAAAGGTAGCTTAGTTTACAAGCTCTTTGCAATCTCAAATTTTTTGGAATCATTTTCATTTGGGTTTACAGAGCAACTCATATTGCAGGATTTATAGATGTTGGAAAACTCGGATGGATTGGATTGTCTGGAGCCGAACTGTGGTTCGGCCTTTACTGGATGTCACTCAAGATCTTCGTTGGAACCGTGTTTATCGCCAGAGCTTCAAATACAACCTACAAGCTTACTGAGAGAGGTGTCCTCTTCTTCCAACGTTTTATTTGTTTATTTGTTTAGGGACAACACTACCACGATGAAATAAGAGCATGTTTGGCTAAACTTTCAAGCAGCCCTTTTGGCTTTTGCTATCTTATTTTGGCTCACTCACTGCCTAAATCAGTCAAGAAGCATCGGCTTAAAAGCTTAGCCACACATGCTTAAATCTGCTAGTCCTATTTTTATTCCTTCACTGCGTAGTTTCAGTGATCATGGTGGTAGTATTCTCGTTCCAGTTTGGATGTGCCCCACTAACTCAAAATGTCTGCGTCCGCCACTAGCTGCATCCGAGGAAATTGTCCGGATTGATTGCCATCTTGACACAGTTTTCCTAGCGGGAGCACTGCAGTTCTCTAATATTTCATAATCATGTTTTTGCTGTCAATAGTTTTGTTTAAACTAATTGCATTTTAAATCAACTTTTTGGATCCTAAGTTCAGTTTGATCCTAACTATCCTCATTGTTATGCACAAAATGCTGTTGGAGGGTACAGAGGTGGCGAAGGAGCACCTTGTTTATGGAAATGTTGGGGGTAATTAAGGCTGTCCTGGTTCTGGCTATGGAGGTTGTGACATGGTGTGGAGAGTGTTGAGAAAAAGTGGATAGAAATAGAGAACTTTGTGACCATGGATTAATCCGGTAGGATTCTCCGTAGCAGAATCAAGTATAGCTGCCTCTCAAACACCTTCGTAATTATAGGTGCTTAAAATTTCTCTCTGCTAACTTATCATCAACCTGGAAATCTCATGCTTTTGCTCCAACTCTGGCAGAAGAAAAAGATTTCTATCCTAAGACTAGAAAAAAAAACAATATGCTTAAAACTGGGACATATGACTTTTTTATGTATTGTTCCGAATCTCAGCGGCTCTATCAGAATATAAAATTGGCCAATCACATTTTGGATATGAATACAGGACTTGAGGTCCAGTAGAAATTTATAATAATTTTCCCATGGCTGGGGTAAAGACATAATGACTTGCTGTATTGTCAAGTGTAAAGCATGTATGATATGCTGGAAAGTATAGTACTTCATATAACAATCACCATATTCTATTTCAAATGTGGTCTTCCCTAAATCAATAAAGTACAATCCAATCTAGTCCAGCCTAGCGGACATACCGGTGAACATAATGGCAACCAAATTGACCATTCAAGTGTTTATATGATCTATGCAAAGAGATCACCGGCTGCTAGGTGTGATAACTTGGGAAGAAGTTGCTTCGCCAGATACTGAGAAAGCCACCGATAGGTTGATTCACCAGGATGAATGCTATCCCAGAATAAGTACTGGTCGTGGTTCTCACAAACTGGAGTTGAGTGAGTACAGAGAGGACCAGCTTCCAGCAGTCCAGTTCCACAGCATCCTTTTCTGACTTCCACAAAATCTGTACCACACAATGAACATTTTAGCATTTTAACATTTGAAGCGTTTAAACAATATCAACAACTTGACATGAAAGCTTTAGCAAAGAAATTAAGTGCTATCCCAAGAAAAGGGCATTGTGGTAAAGTCACATGAAGAATGAGCCTCTCTCTTCCAGGCCACCTGCAGGTGTCTCATGTCAAATCAAGAGGAGCGGAGCTCCCCTCGAAGGATAGTGATACTTTGAGAATAATCTGCCGAGGCAACTTTTTAAAAAGTATTCGAATTGAAAGGAACGAAAAATCAGTAAGCTGCTTCTTGGATGAACAGAGATTAGCAGATCTTGAAGGTTTACCGTATTTTTTAGGGTTATTAATCATATCCGTAAGAATAGTGTATATGTCTGCATAGAGGATTTTGCTGCCTGGAAGTTCTTGCTGTATTTGTGGAAGCAGCTTTTCTAGCCTGCTATTGTAAGACAGAGCATCTGAATTCTCCTTGTGTATGCAACTTCTTAGAATTTGAGACTTGGCTGTGATTTGGATTGGCAGGCAACCTACTGGAGGAAGCCCTGATACAATTATCCTACGGCACCCAAGATCATACAGTTCCTGCAATTTCAAATTAAGGTAGAATTAACAAAGTGCCCTGATGCAAGGGATTTTGTTATTAAATCTTTTTTCTGGTTTAGAAAGGATCATATCAGAGCAATAGCCCCGGAAACAACTAGACATTTGAAAAACTTTGAAAACGATAATTTTTGTAGGTTCAACTATTCTTGGTACTCGTCAATTAGTTAACTGTAGACATTATGTTAGTTAATGGCCCTATATTTAGTATAATACAAATTTTAGACTTTCTAAAAAAAATTTAAGTCATGCAGAAGAAAGGGCCTGCTGTAAAGATAAGTGGAGAGGCAGTTTTATAAAATAATACCTAGCTCTCAAGTGAAGGCTTTGATGGCTCAAGGTTCATATCAGGTAAAGGATAGAAAGAGGAAGAGGAGCAGCCTTCAGCCAGGCAGTGAGCCCAGGATCTGGTGCTGTTGAGACTAACGGCATGTTTAGCAAAGTTTATGATTGTTTATAAGTTAGTCAAACTCTATTTTTATCTACAGCCTACAGGTTCCTTAGAACCACATCTTTTACCTACTTTTAACTATATATTCACCGCTGACATGCAACACTACAGAAAGAAACAAAATCACTTGCACCATGAAACCTCAAGTATGGCACCACAAGACGGGGCAGAAGTAGTTTGAGACAAAATACTATTGTCGGAATATTTATCCCCGACTTTGGAGTTTGGACAACATAGTATAACATGTGTGTGTCTGTGTGCGTGAGAGAGAGAGAGAGAGAGATTGGACCTTAACAAAGTTTTGCAGCTTATTTAGCAGGAAGCTTTGGTACTGTGTGATGTCGAATTCAAGCCTTCTTGTGGGTATGTCGTAGTAGTTAAAAATGAAGTCATTTGGTCCGGCACTAACAATAACCAAAGCATTAGCAGCTATTCTTCGGGCCTCCTTTTCACCAACAAATCTCTCAAGCCTTTGCATATAGTCCTTAAATAATTCCAGCTGCTTCGACATCGGGATTACATGAGAAATAGCTGTTGTAAGCTCGTCATATCCCGACCCTGCTGAAGCAAAGCTGACTCCAGTAAGTAGTTCAGCATCTGATATGTTTGGCTGCAGAAATGGCAAAACAGTTTCCTTGATGCCTAACATGGATGCCAAGATATCAGGTACGAGTTTTCCATTTGAAAACCGCCCAGTAGGAACGTGGCCTGGAAAATCGATGCCATAAGGTAGATGGTGGCCTTTGAATGGTGTTAGTATGTAGTTATTATTCCCGGTATCAACGGTTGAATCACCAAATATAAGAATGGCTGGGAATCTTGGCATGATTTCACTATTGCCTATGTTGGTGGTGATGCAGCCAAATTGCACTGCCAACATAAAGAAGAGGGCAGTGGAAGCCATCGATGTATAAACAAGCCTTTTTGCTTAGAAATTATTGTATTATATGGCAAAAATCTGAACACATATGTACATATAAATTGCAGACATATATTTCACATTTTTTTAAGTAAAACTATTATTTAATTTGAAAGAAACTTTGACTTTACTATCAAAAATGGTAACTTTTTTGTCTCCTAATTATCTATTTCATATATTGACCAATATGAAAGAATAATACAATCTAACACACACCGATCTAAGTATCGGCATATTATAAGTCCGATTAAACGTATCATAATTTCTTGTAATTAATTGAACCTGTAATTTATACTACCAGTGCTGCCACCTAAACCGGTATTAAACACCAGTGGTGCTAACTCATTATGGAAAGGTAAAATTATCATTTCCTTAATGGACTAATAAAAAATTATTTATTTTGAAAGTTACTTGTTTACTTAAGGTGAGTAGGAGAAAAGAAAGAATGATGAATATAAGGCGTGTTAATGTGTAAAGGAGAAAACGTTGGTATGTTTGTATTGTCTTTTATTGTACTTCTGAAATTACTAGGAACTTGAAATGTGTCTGCACGGAATGTTATGACAATATTTTGTTGGTGAGTAATGCCTTATCTTGATGGAAATAGCCTTTCTTCCCTTAAATTCTAAGATGACTACCCAACCACTTACGAAATTATAAGTCACATGTGACTCAAGTATTCTGCAAGATGAGTGTAGAGATATTATCTTTCTGTCTTGAGTTTCTTTGAAATCTTGTTTTCATACTTCTAAAATTGGTTTGAAACTGGATCTTGGACCTACATTTTCGGCAAAAAAAACAAGTGCTCCTCAGAGGGTTTCACAATAACACACAGTATTAGATATTAATTTTCAGTCTTTTGAAAAATTAACTATGAGAGAGAAAAAATTCATATCGCAAAATTAATGAACCTTAAATATAATTTTATGAACCATGTACAGGAATTTTTCAAAAAAAACATACAGAAATTTGAAATGAAGGGAAATGATTGAAAGATTGGAGGAGGGAAAATACACACACACAGAAAGGATTGAAGTATTTCAAATTTCTGGCAAAAATCTGTTAAAAATTCCTGTACTCAAGGAATTTTTCTTATTTTATTTCTAGAAGTACCAAATCATTTTCTTGGCTCTTATTTGAATCTTCATATCAATGTGAAGCGATCACTCAATTGATTGCAGTATAGATTATTACTCATATGGAAAGATATATAACCACAGAATGCACATAACTAAGTAATTAAGTTCGTTAGTCAATTGAGTTCTAACCAATGTACAAATCCTTTTCTTGAGCTTCCTTAAAAAATTCATTAACAGAAATCCGAACGAACTTTATTAATAAAGTCAAAAATACAATAAAAATCTCAAAAGAAATTTTGCCTTTGCAGGGGGTGGGAATGAGATTGGGGTCCTTTGGGGGCATGATATTTTTGGATTAGATCACTTGGCACGATTTTCTTGGATCTTTTATCTTAACAGGAAATTTGGCTTAACAGGTGCAGGTGTTGGATTCGAACTACATCAATAGTGAGGTGATCATACTAGGAAAGGATAATGTTGCTACCTACGTGACCCTGTTCATATAGGGCGATTCACCACGAAATCTGTCTCTTTTTAAAATCCACCTCTTTAATTCGATTATGTAGTTGAATGCTCATTTTGATTTTTGTTGTGTTTTTGTGTCCCGACATCTTACAAGCGAAACTTTTGGTGTAGTAACTTCTCTTTTTATATGTTTGCTTTAGCTTATAAGCAACTCTTTTTTAATTTGAACTGAAAAGAGTTCTCGTTTTAATAGTGAAGATTGTTTATTATCTAAATAAGCGCCTTTGAATTAAATTTGACTTAATAAAATGACTCTTGACCAGAGCATCAAAGTCGGTCCTAACTAATGATTATGTATATTATATAAACTTTTTATTAAACGAGAACGTCCTTGTATAATGTATTTTATCTATTCAAAAGTAGTGATGTCAAAAAAGTTCGGAGGCCCGGGCTCGACTTGGGAAAAGCCCGAGCCGGGCCGACTTGTGGCATCAAGTTGAGGCTTGGGCCGAGCCTCATTTTGGGGGGTCGGTTCGAGCCAGAGCAAGCCCGGGCTCGTCATAGGCCCGTGTCATGGGCCGAGCTAAGTTTTTTTTATTTTTTTTAAGTTTAGATGTATTTTTTTATATATTAATATTTAGTTATTATTTATAATACTTATAAATTGTACAAATTTTAAATACATTATAAAAAATTATAGATTTATAACGAATTAAAAAAAACACGAGCCCCTCGGCTCAGGCCTGGCTCGGCCAGCTAAGGGTCGAGTCAAAAGTTCGGACTGGGCCTCATTTTTTTGGCCAAGCTTTTGCTCGACTCAGACCCAAAAAAGCTCGAACCTGTTTTGCTCGAATCGAGCTCGAGCTTTGAGTTTCGGCTTGTGGCTCGGCTTGGCTCGTTGATATGGCTATTCAAAAGTATCTAATGGAGCTAAAACCATTTCCAT